TTTTTCTTTTCCTTTTTTTTTTCTTTGAGACAGTCTCCCTCTGTTGCCCAGGCTGGAGTGCAGTGGTATGATCTTGGCTCCCTGCAACCTCTGCCTCCCAGGTTCAAGCAATTTTCCTGCTTCAGCCTCCCAAGTAGCTGGGATTACAGGCGCACACCACCATGCCCAGCTAATTTTTTAAATATGTTTTTAGTAGAGATGGGGTTTCACTATGTTGGCCAGGCTGGTCTCAAACTCCTGACCTTCTCAATGAGTAAACTTCTCAGGAAAAGGGAGAATGTGGAAAGATGTACTGAGCTTTGAAGAGAGAAGACAAATTGTGAAATAATCATCTGAAAGAACTGGTAAATGAATCAACCAGGGAAACCTAGTAGAACCGCCAGGCATTGCCAAGGGTCCCTTTTGGGGTCTGTGGTTATAGATTTAAAGTGAGACAAGTCAACAAAGCTGTGCATTTTTCTCCAGCCAGATTCAGCTATCCAAGTGCAGGTGCAGAACAGTGGATTTAACCAGCAAGTTACTACGGGTGAAATGGTGGATTAACTGGGTTGAGAACAGAGAGAGACAGAATCGATGGAGTTAAGGCAGTGATTACAATGAGAAGCCTTAGAACCTGAGGTGAGGAAGAAGGGCAATAAGGACACGAGGGATATTGATGGAAGATGCAAAAGTGAGAGGGTCAAGAGACTGAAGGTACCTGAGGAGTCAGGGAAGTGCTGGAGTGGAGAAGCTAGAGAGGGGAACAGAACCAGAATGACAGGAGGAGGTCAGCAGATAAAGGGAGACTTGAAATCAAGATTTTGGAAGTGGTGCGTCATTTTGTTAATGACACAGTCTAAAGCATGAACAGAGGAGTGGGATGCTGAGATGGAAGAAGACAAATCTTTTTGGAAATGAGTAGTTGAGAAAATTGAAAGGCCCAGGTGTTGGATGAATTGTCTGTGTGGATGCTGAAGCCACTGAGAATAACAACAGAAGCAGTGATGAGAAGAAAACAGTGAGCCAGGAGCTGAAGAGCTGTAAGGAGTGCAATAAAAAGAATGGCAGGTTGCAGATGAGCTTCCAAGGAGCTGGGAACTCTTAGAAAGAAGAAGAAACTAAAATCTAGAGGTAATGCAAAGCAGAGAGGTCACTTCCTACATTTCCAGGCCCAGAGGAAGTTGAATTCAGGAAAAAAAAAAAAAAAAAAGTCACTGCTTGACAAGGATATAAGGAATGCTGTCCCTTCAGGAGAGAAACTGAAGTTTCCAGTAAAAAGATGAAAGGAAATGTCTGACTGGGCACAGTGGCTCACACCTGTAATCCCAACACTTTGGAAGGCCAAGGCAGGAGGATCAGTTGAGGCCTGGAGTTTGAGACCAGCTTGGGAAACATAGAGAGACCCCATCCCTACAAGTAACTTAAAAATTAGGCCAGGCACGGTGGCTCACACCTGTAATCCCAGCACTTTGAGAGGCTGAGGTGGGCGGATCACCTGAGGTCAGGAGTTCGAAACCAGCCTGGCCAACATAGTGAAACCCCGTCTCTACTAAAAATATAAAAATTATCTGGGCATGGTGGCGATTGCCTGTAATCCCAGCTACTCATAAGGCTGAGGCAACAGAACCACTTGAACCCAGGAGGCAGAGGTTGCAGTGAGCCGAGATCGCACCACTGCACTCCAGCCTCGATGACAGAGTGAGACTGTCTCAAAAAAAGAAAACATTAGCCAGGCAATGTGGCATGTGCCTGTGGTCCCACCTACTTGTGAGGCTGGGGCAGGAGGATTGCCTGAGCCTGGAAGGTCAAGGATGCAGTGAGCTGTGATCGCACAGTGGCTTGGGCAACAGAGTGAGACACTGTCTCAAAAAAAATAAAATCTGAGAAGTTGGAAGTTGTAGGGGATTTTGCAGATGAAAGACCATGAGTTTCAGAGACTCACTATGTTCAAGGAGTCCATATTCACACACTTCAATGTGCCTGTGGATTTTCAGAAAAGACGTAAAACAAACTGTCAACAGCCTGGAATGACCAGGCCTCTTCGAGCCCAGAGTCAATGAAATTTAAGACCTGACTCCAGCCTGTGAGTGGGAGAGAAGGAATGACTCTGTCTTACACCCTAGTAAGGGGATGCCCATAGCGAGTGGGGAGTCTTCACAGATGCATCCCACAGACCCCCTACACTGACATCTATGACTCCATGAATTTGGCTGTGTTTTCATTTTTGATAAGCCTCTTTCCACTGCTAGGCCTCAGTTTCTATATATGTGAAGTGAGGAACACGGACTGTGTTTTCTCTTGGCCTCCTTCCAGCTGTGACAGTCTGTGAATCTCGTGGAAGCCAGCTCTGGGTCCAGTTCTGTCTTGGGGAAATTAGACCAGAAAGGCACAGAGCATACACAAGAACCCAACAGCATCTTCTAATACAAACCCATACTTCCACTGGCACATAGTATCTTTGCTTATCTAATTATATGCATACACACACAAACACACACACATACACACCAGGCAAGAAAACCAATCCCAGCACTTTGGGAGGCCAAGGCAGGTGGATCACCTGAGGTCAGGAGTTCGAGACCAGCCTGGCCAACCTGGTGAAACCCTGTCTCTACTAAAAATACAGAAATTGGCTGGGTGTGGTGGCACACACCTGTAAGCCCAGCTACTCAGGAGGCTGAGGCAGGATAATCACTTGAACCCTGGAGATGGAGGTTGCAGTGAGCCAAGATCGCACCACTGCACTCCAGCCTGGGCAACAGAGTGAGACTCTGTCTCAAAAAAAATAAATAAATAAAATCTGCAACCATTTATACATGCAGCTACCCACATCCTTTCTTGTGGTCACATTATCGTACTCGGCACCATCACGTCCTAAACACAGTGTCCCATAATCACCGTCTCACAAAATCTCAGTCCCAGACCTCTGCCTACCTTGAGCAGATGGGGCAACTGCTGGGTAACCAGCTCCTTGAACTCGTTGATGCTGAGGCTATCCTTCCGGCCCTCCTGCCTAGCAAAGGTGAAGAAGGTGGTGACCACGGTCTCAATGGACTCCTCTAGCTCTGTCAGTGGTTCTGCTGCCATTAGGACCCTGAGGCCAAAGCTGATGTCCTCAAGCGGCTACCTGACCTTTGTCAGGGCTGACCTGTGGAACAGAGGAGGAGGAGAGAGGGAGAGTCATGGAGCCCCAAGATGCAGGAATGGTTCAGAAGGCCCCTGCCTTGGTGTTACCGCATCAGGTCTTGGCCTGGAGAGGGCATTATAGGGAAAGAGGGAGAGGACAGGGCGTTGAGCTTGGGGCAGCAGACCAGACAACAGCATCTCAGTTTAGGTGGGGGCAGAAGATTCGGCTCCAGAAACCCCCTCTTCTGTAGGTCTCACAATCTGGGCTCCTTTTTAAATGTCTGTGGCTTAGGGACCCCTCTGTGGTGATGCCTCGATCTAGAGACCTCTCTACTTGAGAGGAGGTTTTCAGTTGAGGGTCCTTCCTGGAGTCCTTCGAGTCTGGTGGCCCCTCTGTGGCGTGTCTGTCTCAAGAGTCCCTTCTTGTCTCACCCAGCCTCGCAGGTCACAAGGTTGTTTGTCTCCAAAGCTTGTTTATGTTGGGACCTGGTCTCCAGCCACTCGCATCCGCCCACACACACTCTGACCGCTTCTCCCAGCAGAGAAGCACAGGGTCTGGCAAATGTCCCCTGTGGTCAGAGCTGGCTCCGTCTGAACAGACCCATTTTCTCTGCCGGGATCCACCCTTACCTCTCTCCTCAGGGCAGCAGGGCAGAGTGCTGAACCCAGGACCCCACAGATCCTCCCCGCTCCTGTCTCCCCATCGGGAGATAAGGGTCCTAGAACGGGGTGTCTCTGACACCCTGCCCCACGACGGGTTTAGTACAGGCACTCACAGCCCCCTGGGGTGTAGTGGGTGGGGCTGGAAAAGGCATTCTCTTTTCCGTCCCCCCGTCACGCACTCCGGCATGCACTGTTGCTCGATCATCCAAAGCTGCTTCCTGAATTCCTGTCTGAGCCGGCTCTCGGGGAGGGACCTGGGAGCCCAGGAAGAAAAAATGATCTCCAGGCTCCCTCCAGGGTCGGCAATGAGACTTACCGGGCAAGGAGATGGGGTGGAGCGAGCTGGAGTCTCAGGGCTGAGGTTTATAAGCAGCAGGGAAGGAGGAGAGAGCTGCTTACAAGCCCGGAGGTGTCAGATTTCCGTGGTGGATTCTGAAGACCAGAGACAGCCCAATCAGGCCTCTTGCCCTGAACCCTCAGGCCTGGACCCGGGCTCCCTGCCAGCCACTCGAGCGCCCCCACTTGGTCAGGGAGAGGAGCTGTCTGGACAGATTTCATTCAGCAGGGGTCCCAGGGTCCTAGTCCTTTCAATACTGGGGGCTGCTGCCACCACACCCCACGTCTAATCAGGAGTGTGTATGCTGAGGGGGGAAGAGAGAGGAAACCAATTGAGGGAGCTCAACACTGAGAGGCCCAATCTGAGACATACACGGAGGCCCCTTAGAATGAAACCCCACAAAGGATGCTACAGCCCAAGATCCCTCAGAGAACCCCAGGCTGAGGCCCCACACACACAGGGGGATCCAGGTTGAGACCCCCATAGAAGAGTCCTGGATTGAAATCCCTCTGTGGGTTCTCAGACTCCCAAGACTAAGTTACTCACTGAGGGTCCTCTCAGTGAGGCCCCATGGAGGAGCCACAGACTAAGACCCCCTCAGCAGAATTCCCCCCTTACCCAGGTCAACCAGCACAGTCAGCTGCAGGTACCGCAAGGCCCGGCTTGGGGTGAGACAACCAGTATCCCTCCCAGGACCTCCTTCCCACCTCTTTCCCCTGCACCATCCACTGCTGCCTAAAGAGAAGGGAACGGGGCAAGCAAGGCTGGGAAAGAGACAAGGGCCGCCTGTTCCAGCCCAGGAGACAGAGGGCGCCTCTGTCTGCTCCTGGCCCCTTGCCCCACAGGGTGTTCGTCTGTGAAGGGGTGGAGTCGGTGGGGGGGTCAGCGGGGGAGGGACTGTTGAAGACAGGTCTCCACACACAGCTCCAGCAGCCACATTTGCAGCCTCGGCTATCTGTCCAGAACCTGCTCCCACCTCAGGCCCAGGCCGACGGTGAGTACCCTGCCCCACCAGGCTAGTCCCTGGCCTGCCAGCTTCGGGGAGAGGGGTCTTCAGAAGGGCTCCAAGAGGCTGGGGCCCATAGCACTGTGGGGCACTAAGGATCTGGGAGGAGTCAGTCAGAGTGAGGGCAGTTTGGGATTTGGGGCAGACAGGGTTTGGAAGGTGGTGATGAGAGACAAATGAACTGAAGGTCGGAGAGAGAGCTGGCAGCTCAGCAAAGGAGGAAGTCAGTGGGGAACCCACCAAGAGCTTCCTGGCCACCTGGCCCTCCCACAGGGAGCCCTCAAGTCCCTGCCAAGGCCCCCTCTGTCTCCCAGGTGTTGGGAAGGGCCCCAGCCCTCCCCTGCCTCGCCTCCTGTGGGGTAAGAAGAAGAGAGCAGATACAACAGCTGTTTCTGCCCCCACCTCTCTTGCCAGCCTTAGTCTCTGCCACCCCCACCCTGCCTTGCCAAGAGCTCAGGTCTCTGGGGAGTCTGGGGGGTGGCAAGGTGAAGCTCCCAAGATATGGGGAAGTGGGGGATGGAGGGTGCTGTACCCCTTCCCAACGCTACCTCCACAGGACCTCCCCTTTCTCCTCCTCCCCTTTTTGGCCCAGACCTCTTGACTCCTCTTTCCCCCAATTCTTTCCTCTTTGTTTTCCCATCTGCCCTGCCCCCAAGTCCTCTCAGAACTGCCACCACATAAAATCCCAGGCTGCTCTAGGGCTCCAGGCGACCTCCAGCTGCCCCTCTGGCATGGAGCAGGTAATCAAGCCACCAGCATCCCTCCCTCAAGCACCCCTTATCCCCTCATCAGCCACAGCTTGGGTTCCATCTCCCCCATGTCTCTGTGACAACCGCTTCTCAGGTCCGGAGTTCAGATGACACTCACAAGGGCCCCATTGAAGAACTGGGATGTCATTCGATCAGGGGCCATTGTCCAGCCCCCAGGCCTGGGGAAGGATGGGGACATCTGATCCAAGACACCTGAGCTGCCCCCCTGGGGTTGCGGAAGGCCAGACTGTCCCAGGGCCAAAGGAAAGAGGCCCCCCTTGGCAGTCTTCTCTCTCAACAGACCCCTCCTTTCTCCTTTCTTCTCCTACTCTCTCCCAGCCCCTTGAACTCAAAGGACTGCATCCTCTCAGCCCTTTATCTCCCCCAACACATACCAGCCCCATTCCCCTTGCTCCCACTATCCCCAAATCAACCAGGAGTGAGCAGTCGCAGGGACAATGCCTGCAGGTCTCCTCTCCCCTTCCCTGGGAACCCTGGCTCCAAGGAAAAGGCTCAAACATTCCTCTCTCCCCTTCTGCCACCCACCAGATGAAAGGGATAATTTTGCAGAAGCAATGGGAGCATACCCCAGAGAAGCCAAAATGACATGTTCAGGAGAGAACAGAGTTGAAGGACCAAAAGGGGCCCCCAGCTGCTGACAGGAAACTCAGAGTCAGTGAGACCTCCCTCCCCTAGAAGCCTTAGGCCACCCGCCCACTGGGGCTGCCACCCCCTCTACCAGGCTGACCGAGGGTACCAGACTGACTTCTTGCTAGGGGTGGGCAGCAGAGGGAAGGCTGTAGTGGACACCCCAGCCCACTACCCTCAACAGCAGAGCTTGGCTATACTAGGCAGGCAAGGTCCAGGGTAAAAATAGAGCCAGAGGAAGCATGGCCTCGTCCTGTGACCACCCCTGCCTGCCCCACCCTCCTCAATCTCTGCCTGGGCAGCCACTGCAGACATCTACCACAGGCCTCTGGAGCCAGCCCAGCTCCAACTGCTCTCTCTCCATGCCCTAACCCTGATTCCCTTTGGCTGGGGTACAGACTGAGGGACATGGAGAACAGGTCTGCATTTAGGTCTGCTGGGGTTTCCCTCGCATTGTAAAATCTCAGGGAAAGATCAATTGCAGTTGGGCTTTAATCCCACAGTTATTTGAGCTGTCAGCCAGGGCCAGGCCTGAGGGCTCCCCTCACCTAGACCCTGGTACTCTGGGCCTGGTCCTCAAGGCTCACTTCCATGATGGGGGTGGGTAGGTGCACTGCTGCAATGGGCTCTGAGCTGGAGACGGCGATGGAGACCCTCATCAACGTGTTCCACGCCCACTCGGGCAAAGAGGGGGACAAGTACAAGCTGAGCAAGAAGGAGCTGAAAGAGTTGCTGCAGACGGAGCTCTCTGGCTTCCTGGATGTAAGTACAAAGTGGTGGAGTGGAAGTGGAGTGGGTGAAGGTTGGGGGAATGGGGTGGGCACCCCCTTGCTGTCTCCCCACCCCACCTCCAGCTCAGCCCAGCCTCCTTCTTTCCTTTCCCAGGCTTCTCTCCTGGATTTTTCCAGACTCCCCTACTCCAGCTGGGTCAAGTCAAAATGCCCCGGTTTATTGATCACCAATATGTTATTGATCACTATAACAAGTGTTAGGCCCTGTGTAGATTCATCAGTAATAAGACTCACAGACTAGAAGGGAAAGATTGATAATTAAAAGTAAACCATGAACTCCAGGAAGTACACAGAGCCTTAATAGATGTGCCAGAAAGGGTTATGAGAGATTATTAACCTGATTGAAGTAAGATGGCTTTCCTGAAGAGGTAGCACTTGAGCCATGGATTTCCATTGGAAGATTATCTAGGTAAATGCAGACATTTTAGGAGGAAGTAACTGAATGAACAAAAGCACAAGAGAAAGAAGAATGTGGTGCATGCCAGTAGTTTTATTCGACTGGCATGAAGGATATAGAAAAGTAGGCTGCAAAGGCTAACCAGGACCACAAAGTAAAGAAGCCTCAGGATATGGTAGAAAGTGCATCAGTTTAGGCCGGGCATGGTGGCTCACGCCTGTAATCCCAGCACTTTGGGAGGCCGAGGCAGGTGGATCACGTGAGGTTGGGAGTTCGAGACCAGACTGACCAACACAGAGAAAACCCGTCTCTACTAAAAATACAAAATTGGCCAGGCGTGGTGGCGCATGCCTGTAATCCCAGCTATTCGGGAGGCTAAGGTAGGAGATTGCTTGAACCCGGGAAGCGGTGGTTGCAGTGAGCTGAGATCACACCATTGTACTCCAGCCTGGGCAACAAGAGCAAAACTCCGTGTCAAAAAAAAAAAAAAAAAAAAAAAAAAAAAAAAAAAAAAAAAACGCCGGGCGCGGTGGCTCAAAGCCTGTAATCCCAGCACTTTGGGAGGCCGAGGCGGGCGGATCATGAGGTCAGGAGATTGAGACCATCCTGGCTAATCTGGTGAAACTCCGTCTCTACTAAAAAATACAAAAAACTAGCTGGGCGAGGTGGCGGGCGCCTGTAGTCCCAGCTACTCAGGAGGCTGAGGCAGGAGAATGGCGTGAACCCGGGGGGCGGAGCTTGCAGTGAGCCTAGATCGCGCCACTGCACTCCAGCCTTGGCGACAGAGGGAGACTCCGTCTCAAAAAAAAAAAAACACAAAGAAAGTGCACCGGTTTTGAGGTTTTATTGGACTGGGTTCAAATTCCAGCCCTGCTACTTTCTAGCTGTGGGACTTTGGGCATATTTATTTAACCACCAATTACCAATTTGTTTCTTCTCTAGAATGGAAATAATGAAACAAAGCTCACGTTATTTGTATTAGAATTAAATTAGACAGTGCTTGTAAAGCTCCTAGTGTAGTGCTTGCTGTATTGTAGGCACTCAACATACGGTAACTGGTGTTATTATTATTCATTCTGCCAGGTGAAAGAGCTTATGCTGTAGGCAACAGGAGCCCTCAAGAGTTTTGAGGCCCAAAATAGTCCCATAATTCAGTGCAGTTCCTCTCGCTCATCTCTGCCTCCTTCTCCTCAACCACCCCCTTGCCTCTGACTCAGTGCTGTACCCCTCCCTATACACCTCCCTTTTCCTCTCCTTCCACCACAGGCCCAGAAGGATGTGGATGCTGTGGACAAGGTGATGAAGGAGCTAGACGAGAATGGAGACGGGGAGGTGGACTTCCAGGAGTATGTGGTGCTTGTGGCTGCTCTCACAGTGGCCTGTAACAACTTCTTCTGGGAGAACAGTTGAGCAGACAGCCACATTGGGCAGCGCCCTTCCTCTCCACCCTCCCAGATCTGCCTCTTGCCCCTGCTTCCACCTCATCCCACTTATCCCTCTCCATAACCCCACCCCTGCCCACCCCACCCACACACACACCAAGGGCGCAAGAGTAGCGGTCCAAGCCTGCAACTCATCTTTCATTAAAGGCTTCTCTCTCGCCAGCCATCCGATGTCTGTCTCCTCTGGGATCTGGAAGTGGGTGGATCCCACTTCCCTTATTTGGGGAAGTGTCTTATTTAGAAAGAGGTCAAGGTGCATTACATCTTCCTACTTGAGGAAAGCTCAAGGTCCAGGAATGTGGGGGTTCAAGGTTCCAGTTGGAAGTCGAGGAGACATCACCTTCTCAGCTATAAAACCAGAGGAAGAAAGAATCTCCTTTCTTTCTTTCTTTTTTTTTTTTGGAGACGCAGTCTGGCTCTGTTACCCAGGCTGGAGTGCAGTGGCACGATCTCGGGTCACTGCAACCTCCAACTCCCGGGTTCAAGCAATTCTCCTGCCTCAGCCTCCTGAGTAGCTGGGACTACAGATGCCTGCCACCATGCCCAGCTAATTTTTTGTATTTTTAGTAGAGACGGGGTTTCACCATGTTGACCAGGATGGTCTCGATTTCCTGACCTTGTGATCTGCCTGCCTCGGCCTCCCAAAGTGCTGGGATTACAGGTGTGAGCCACCACGCTTGGCCAAAATAATCTTCTTTCAATCAACGAACATTTACCTAAGTGGTACTGTGTGTAAACACTGTGTAGGAACTGAGGCTCCAGCATTAAGCAAAATAACCACGATCCTTACCCTCACATGGGCCTTACACACACACACACACACACACACACACATGCCAGTGCCAGGAAGGAAAATGAAAGGGTCTTCACGTGCCTATGGGGCGGAGAAAGGGTGGGCAGGGACAGATGTGTCATTCTCTCATTACTCAAACATATGCACACTGTATTGTGCACATAGCCATTAGAAAAATCCCTTATTGAGGCCGGGCATGGTGGCTCACGACTGTAGTCCCAGCACTTTGGGAGACAGAGGTGGGCAGATCACTCGAGGTCAGGAGTTAGCGACCAGCCTGGTGAAATCCCATCTCTACTAAAAATACAAAAATTAGCAGGGCGTGGTGGCACGCGCCTGTAATTCCAGCTACTCAGGAGGCTGAGGCAGGAGAATCGCTTGAACCTGGGAGGCGGAGGTTGCAGTGAGCCGAGATGGTACCACTACACTCCAGCCTGGGTGATAGAGGGAGACTCCATCTGCAAAAAGAAAAAAAAGAAAGAAAGAAAGAAAAATCCCTTAATTCAGCAGGACACATAGCTCATGCCTATAATCCTAGGACTCGGGAGGCTGAGGTGAGAGGATCACCTGAGCCCAGGAGGTCAAGGCTGCAGTGATCCGTGATTGATTGCGCCACTGACTCCAGCTTGGACAACAGAGCCAGACCCCGTCTCAAAACAACAACAACAAAAAATCAGAAAGCGAGAAAAGAGAAATCCCTATGTAGGTCTACCACAAAATAAACACGGATGGCAGGTGTGGAGGGAGGACATGGAAGCGCAATCGAGGACGCAAAGGTGCACCCCCCGCAAGAAGGATTAAACAGTATTTAGGCCAAGTTGGGAAGGGGAGGAAGTGAGAAGGAAAACATGGACGGGCGGTGGTGTTGGCCAGCGCAGGATGGGAGAGGAATGTGCTCCCAATACTGGCCTCCTGGGCCTTGGCGGGAGCATTTACGGCACTTTACAACTCTCAGACTGGGCGACCGGCCACGAGGGGAAAACCAGTGCAAATTCCCCAGGCCCAGTTGTCCGGAAGAAGACGAGGCAAGTCCGCGTAAAGATTTTTAGACGGTGTACCTTGCCTAAGGAACAGAGGGGCAAGGGAATTCGGAACCCAAATCCCCTCTAAGACCCTGATTACTAACTAGTAACCCAGGAGGTTGCAGCTTAACCACTATGGGAACTTGAAGTCCCGGCACGCCCCGATAGGGCCATTGCCACGCCCCCAGAGGGCGGGGCACTGCTTATACCGCGGAGGTAAAGTTTGCTGAAGTTCACCCTAAGGCTCCGCCTCTGATCCCTGCGCAGGCGTAGCTCAAATCTTTCACGCCCTCTAGTCGTGAGCGGATCTGACGCCTGACGTAATGGCGTAGACGCCATTTTAGCCGGTCCCACAAGCACTGCATGTGGCGGCCATTTTGTTTTGGACACCGAGCCGGGGCTGGCGGCCGCTGCAGACGAAAGGCAAGAAAGGGCAGGCCGGGTGAGCAGACGGATCGGCCGGCTAGACAGCCAACCAGCAACAACGAACTGAGCTCGCATACTACCGCTTACGCATCTGATCAACCGCCCATCTAGCTAACCCGAGCCCCTCCACCGTCAACTCAGGTTCGGCCGGTCCCCGGCCCGCCTGCCGGAGCCGTGGTGGCAGCCCCGGGAGGAGCACTGGCGTCTGTTTCCTTCGGTGAGTTTCTGTAGTGAGAAGGAGCGGGGTGGCGGGGTCTTGGGGAGCGGAAGGGGCTGGCGGACGCGGAAAGGGGGTGGTGGCATGTGGACACAGCTACGGTGTTGGAGCGTGGAGGCCCGGGGGAGGAGGCGGAGCCCCTGCGAAGGGGCGGGGGAGGGGCTGAACTGGAACCTGGTGGCGGGACTGATGGAGGTTGGGGTTTGATAGGGATTAAAAGGAAACTTGGGTTGAGCAAAAGTGAAAGTCTTGATAGGGCTTTGAGGATGGTAGGGAGATTAAGAAATACAAGACTTTGAGGAATGTTGGAAATTAATGGCGGCTTAGGGTTAAGTTTTGTGGAGGGCTCTTTGCGAGCTCATTCCCCAGGTGAATTTAGAAAACCTTTCCTACGCACTCCCCGAGATCATTAGTTTATTGTTACAAAAGTCTCTGCTTGATTCTGGAGTTGAAAGCCAATTTTTAAACTAGGCTTTTTTTTTTGAGACGGAGGGTCGCTCTTTTTGCCCAGGCTGGAGTGCAGTGGCACGATCTCAGCTCACCACAGCTTCCGCCTCCCGAGTTCCAGCGATTCTCCTGCCTCAGACTCCTGAGTAGCTGGGATTACAGCCATGCGCCACTACGCCCAGCTAATTTTGTATATTTAGTAAAGACGGGGTTTCTCCATGATGGTCAGGCTGGTCTCGAACTCCCAACCTCAGGTGATCCGCCCTTCTCGGCCTCCCAGAGTGCTGGGAAAACAGGCGTGAGCCACCGCGCCCGGCCCTGCCTATATTTTCACTCTAGATCAGTAGTTTTCAACTTTAACTGCACGCTAGAAGCACCTAGGTAGCTTTCCCTCCACCCCACAATTGTTCATTTCCAAACCTCGTTACTAGAGATTGTGGTTTAATTGATCTAGGACCAGATATCTGTATTTTTTATTTTTTTAATTAATTTATATTTTTATGGAAACGGGGTCTTGCCATGTCGCCCAGGCTGGTCTTGAGCTCTAGGGCTCAAGCATTCCGCCCACCTTGGCCTCCCAAGGTGCTGAGATTACAGGCGTGAGCCACCGCGCCCGGCCTGTCCGGCCCTTTGAAAGCTCCTTGGATAAGTCATATGTAGTCAAGGTTGAAAATGACTGCTCTAGAGAAAAAGCCAAACTCGACCGGGCGCGGTGGCTCACGCCTGTAATTCCAGCACTTTGGGAGGCCCAGGTGGGTGGATCGGGTGAGGTCAGGAGCTCAAGACCACCCTAGCCTACGTGGAGAAACCCCGTCTCTACTAAAAATATAAAAACAATTCGCCGGGTGTGGTGGCACGTGCCTGTAGTCCCAGCTACTCAGGAGGCTGAAGCAGGAGAATCGGTTGCACCGGGAGGCAGAGGTTGCAGTGAACCGAGATCGCACCACTGCATTCCAGCTTGGGCGAGAGAGTGAGATTCCGTCTCAAAAAAAAAAAAAAAAAAAAAAGGCCAGACTCCATACTTTGATTGCTAAATTGGGTTCTGCCGTTTTTGAGAATTTCCTGGGTATTTTCTGGGCCTTGGAGTTTGTTTGGGGTTGTTTGTTTTAAAGAGATGGGGTCTCTCTCAGGCTGGAGTGCAGTGGCGTCATCACAGCTCTTTGCAGCCTCCAACCCCTGGGCTATAGCACTTCTCCCACATCAGCTCCCCCTGAGTAGCTAGGACCACAGGTGCTGGCCACCATGCACTGCTATTTATTTATTTATTTATTTTCTTAGTAGAGACTCGGTCTCACTTTGTTACCCAAGCTGATCTCTAACTCCTGGCTACAAACCATCCTGTGCCCTCACCCTTCCAAAGTGTTAGGATTATAGGTGGTGAACCACCACGCCCAGCCACCTTGAAGTTACAGTAATGTGAGGTAACTGCCATAGAAATTTAAGCACTTTTGCACTTTTGCTGGGCGTGGCACCTCATGTCTGTGATCCCAACACTGGGAGGCCAAGGTGGGAACATCCTTTGAGGCCAGGAGATTACAGCTGCCGTGACCCACTGCAGCCAAGATCATGCCACTGCATTCCAGCCTGAGTGACAGAGTAAGACCCTCTCTCAAAAAAAAAAAAAAAAGAAAAAGAAATTTAAGCACTTGAAATGTGCCCTCATGTGCTCTTAAGTCATCAGTGATAAGGCCTTTTTATTTATTGTTGACTTGGGCCTTGCCACTTATAGAAATGATGTGGTCACTATTGTGATTTGCTCATTTTACGTATTGTCCTTTGTAGATTCTCGGGATTTGAAGATGGCTGCACAGTCAGCGCCGAAAGTTGTGCTAAAAAGCACCACCAAGATGTCTCTAAATGAGCGGTGAGGCAGCCAACAGCAACTTCAGCTCCTTCCTAAGAAAACATTACTTAACTTGGCCCTGGGGTCCAGTGCACAAAGCCAGTTTTAAGCTAAATACCAACAGAAGGCTACAGACCTCTGTTCTTAGTTGCATCTCATGTGGTACACAAAACAAATTGGGCGGTTGTTTCAAAACCCCTTATCAGTAGACTTTTATGTTAAGCTGTCTGAAATATTTATTTGGTGGGATGTATTTTAAAAGACTCCTAACACCCTCCCTTTTCACATTTTTTTACATTGATACAGGGGTCGTGCAGCACGGTAGCATGGTACCCTGGCTACAGTAGGCTTGCTGCCCAGTCCAAGGCCAGCAGTGTTGTGTCTGGCCTGTAAGAGGCAGGTAGCAAGCCATGAATAT